AATTCCCGATAGAGATTTGCCTTCCTCTAACCGTGCTGGGTAACATCTTGGCCGATAAATGCAAAGCGGTATCTTTGTGGACGTCGATTTGGGGCCATCAAAGCATCGTAGGTGTTTCGGGTTTTCCAGTTTGGGCTATCTGCTAGCCATGTCATGCCTCACAAACTCACGCATCTTCCCACCTACAACACCGTTTTGATCGTTAAATCCTACGAACGGCTTATTTGATTCTACTCGTTTTCGTGCAAAAAAAGCTCGCATTTGTCCATCTATTCGTTCTGATCAACAATTCGGTTGGAAAGATGTGAGAAAATTTATGCAAATCGGCTGCTCTCGTTCGTTTTCGTAGGGCATTTATTATAGCATTAAAAACATTCGATTGCATTGAAATAGCAATAATTTGAATTTTCCCATAGGGCCATTCCTATATCGAGAAGGAAAAAAGTGGAAAGTGCGCTGTACTGAAACTCAACATCTCGTGATCGGACATTTTAGAATGATTTATGGCTCGGGGAGTACCCCGCGCGTTTATTACTACAGTTCGGGAAATAAATTGGAACGTTCTTTGTTCCTTCTGTTTTCAAGGACGACAGAATAAAGTGCCTTTACCCTCTATAGGAAAACTATACGGTGCATATGCGTGGCGTATTCCATAGCACTTGTGTATCTACTATTTCTACCGAATAGGCCATGCAGCCGGCTATTAGTGAAAGGTCCAACTTCTTCACACCAAAAGCTCCTGCTTTATAAATCTGCCTATCTACTTTGGTAACACGTCTTTTCATCTGCAGAGGTGAACGATCGCTATGACATCTCAAAATCTTTAGCAGTTTGTTCCTTGGATACCTCGTGGGGACAGTGCAGAAAATATGAGGAGGAGAGGCATCGATCCATGTCCCTCCTATCTTTTCCTATTCATTGTCATTTTTATTATTATTAACTTTTGGGACCTTTAGCTTCAGGCATTTCTTACTAACCAACATCTTTTGCAAGTCAAGAAGAAATCTATGACTACTAAAAGGAGACCGATAATAAGAGCCAAAATGATAGGCGTTCCAAATGAAATGGGATGGTGTTGAATCGCATTTGTTAATTGTATCACTTTAGGAAATGAGCTCTGATGTGGCAGTAGCATCTTCCAATCACAGTGAGTAGTAGATGAAATGAATTGCGGTCGCCTTCTCCAATGAGCAACTAATGAAACCTATTGACTCGGACTTCCAGTTCTTGCACTCAGCTGCCCGTTCCTGCTTAGTTACCTAGAACTTTAATCCACACTGCTTCCCGTCTTCTTTTTCTTCCTGATTCCCATGTTCAAAAATTCAGCAGGTGCCTTCCGTTCACGGTTAAGCTTGTTGCAATTGGGCAAATCAAACTTCCACCAATAGAGGCGTTCTAAAAGAACAGATTTTCTTTACGTCACGCGATTCCGCCTCTGCTGAGTTCCGTTTGGGATGAGACGTTCCGAGCACAGCGGACGCGGGTGACAGGTGCGCGAACGGTCAGCAGTCAGCTGTACAATTGTGAAAAGACATCAAAAATTACTAGTACTTCTTCTAGCAGGCGTCGTACACGACATGGTTTCCCATTCCAATTGGATTGCTTTAAAATTTCATTTCATGTCCCTGTGACTCATTTATGGTCGTGTCGCCCATTCGTAAGCTTAGCCGCCGGCCAAACCTTTGCTCCATTATGCTCCTTCCCTTAGATCATTTGCATAAGCGAATGGTTATCAATTTACGATCAATGAGCAGCGATCATATTGCTTAGCTTCGACAGTGGAGAAACAGTTGCAATAGACGAATTGCTGAGTACACGGCAACCCTATATATACCGAACCCTAGCATGCGTGTCAGGTCTTGTCTTGTAATGTGGGGAAATTCCAAAGACAACGATTCGGATGGAGCCTCTTTTCATAGCTTCGGATCACCTATTCACTTATACGCGCGTTGTTCTTTCCACCCAAACATGCTGCGCTTTTAAAGCTATTCAGTATAGAACTTCCACATAGTTATGTCACAAAAATGACACTGGAACGGAATTCCATCACGGCTCGCGATTTCTGGGGTATGTGTACGAACGTGTGTCCGAGGTTGCGCGGCGAAGTTCGCGGCAAATTGCGCGGCGAAGTTCGTAATGATTCGAGCGACTTTGGCGCCTATCATTGGGGGCCAGATTTGGAATAGAGTGGATTAGGAGGATCATCTGACCCTAATTAACTACACTACTTCGAGTTTATGCCCCGAAAATTGGCGCCGGAGTCGTCCAAATTCGCCACGAACTTCGTCGCGCAATTTGCCGCGCGAATGATTCGAGCGACTTTGGCGCCTATCATTGGGGGCCAGATTTGGAATAGAGTGGATTAGGAGGATCATCTGACCCTAATTAACTACACTACTTCGAGTTTATGCCCCGAAAATTGGCGCCGGAGTCGTCCAAATTCGCCACGAACTTCGTCGCGCAATTTGCCGCGCGCACCCTCGGACGCACGTTCGTACCGTCCCCCCGATTTCTGTAGTGACCTTATGGTGAGATGAAATGCAATGGACGCAGAATCTAGCAGACAACATATTTCATTTCACGGCATAACCTTATTTGAATACACAAATCCTCAGCCTGTCACATATACAGCAAGCAGCTGCGTTGTCCCACAAACATTCGTTTGAGTCAGGACCCTCAACCGAATTATTGTTTGAACCGAGTGCCGAGTCTCGCCGATACGGCTGTCTTTGGAATCAAGCGTAAGTGTCCCAATTATACCCGCAAAAGACGACTCCGTGTGGTTTTGTTAAGATCATTTCCGATGCGGGCCAGGTGAGCTCGCCAAATAGTTCCTCGATCCTTTACTTGGGTGTATGTCGATTGACGCGATCATTTCCCCTCGCGCCGCCCATTCGACGCGGTTTGCGAGCTGGACAACTCGTCCACGCTCCATGACAAAGCCAAGTAGACGACGCAGACGGGGAGAATACAAACAGGTCCACAATTCTGCGTCTAATAGTAGTGGCGTCATAGATCAGACTTCTATCAGCTGGAGAGGCAGGGGTCGCCCGATCACTTGGACGAGTTGTCCAACTCGCAAACCGTGTCGAAAGGGCGGCGCGATGGAGGGGGGGGGGGGGGGGGGGG